CACATTAAAGTTAGAGAAGCACGGATATAAAACAAGAAGACTCATTTCTCAAGTTTGGCAAACCCTGGAGAGCACTTCAGTTTTCTGGAATTGGATGACCTGGGACAATTGGATGACCTGGGACAATTCCTACTAGGGTGCACTGTCTTATTACAAAAGGTAGGTAACAACACTTGCTGTTCCTGCCTCATGGGGTTACTGTGAATCTCAAATGAGCTCATGGATTCACACACTAGCTACTTATTGTGATGGAGCTGATAGGAGCTGGGGAGCTGGCAGTGGGGAGCAGAGTAGGTGTGGTCTCTGCCCTCACAGAGCTGGTGATTCGGTCGGGTAGGAGAACATGCTGTAAATGCTGGTTGGTGTTGTGTGACCGTCACGGTTATCACAGAGCCTTCATTCATTTCATTCATTCATTCATTCATTCATTCATTCATTCGGTGGTCAGTCATTTATTAAAATCTGAAGTGCCTCTACTATGTCAAACATTAAGCTCTAAGCTGCACATGGGGAAGCAGAAATAAATGAGCCAGAAACTTCGTCCTCAGGGAGCTTTTAGTCTAGCCAGAGACAGAGATACATGGGTGATTCCATTTAGAACACACTCTGGCTGGTGCTCTAAGTTGGCACAGGGGGCTATGGGGGTACAGGTAAGTCAATGAAGAACTTTGCTTTTAAGGGTGATTACAAGTTCACAGGCTGAGAAGAGGGAGAACAGCACTGAAGGCTGAAAGAACAGCAGGGGAAAGGCAGGGGGGCATGAAGGCACAGCATGCTTTTGCCATGACCAGAAGGTAAAGAGAATTTGGAGGCGTGCCTAGAGACGATTTTGGAGTAGTAGCTTGAGGCCTGGTCTTAGAGGCTAAGGAATCTGGTCTTTATCCCTTAGGAAATGGGGAGTTCCTGAAGGGAGAGAATTGACGCAAGCGAAGATCTTAAAGAGCAGCATAGAAGAAAGAATTAATGACTTGAGGCAGAAATACCTTTAAGAGGCTCTGAGAGCAGCTTATGGGAGAGATGAAGTCCTAACTGGGATAGTGGATGTGGCGATAGAAACGGATGTAACAGAAATTAAGGAAGCTAGCATTGACAGGACTTGGTGGGCACATGAATGGGGTGGTGAAGAGAAAGGAATCAGGAGGCAGAGATGTCTGTAGATGAGGAGCACAGTCCAGCTTGATGCAAGAATTAGGGAGTTGTGAGGTGATTGGAGTTGTGGGAGTGAATGAGACTGTGAGAGAGTGTGCGGTGGAAAGAGAATAGGGGTAGGAGTGGCACCAAGGCACCAATAGCAAAGGTTCTATGAAGCAGCGATGAGTCTATGAAGGAGGTTGAAGGATGCCAAGAGGCAGTTCTGCTTTCCTTCATTCCTTTGGGCATGGAGAGCAACAATGGAGTGGTCACAACTCATCACCCTCCAGAATCATCGCTAGAAAGGGCCCTGGGGTCACCACCCTTGAAGCCCCAAAGTGAGTGGGGCCTGAGGCTGGGGCCCCTGAGAACATGAACTGAGACAGGGATGGACATGGGTCTCCTTCTCCCTCCCTCTTTCCTCCTCACAGATGGTAATGTCCAACCCTTTCACAAATAATTTTTTTTCTCCGAAAGAAAACCAAAAGGACATAAGAGATGGAGAAACAAAAGGCAAGCTTGAGTTTGTTTAGTTTTTCAGATCAGACAAAGACCCAACACCACCTAACACAAAAGAAAACCTCCCAGATCGTGTCCTAAGTTGACTCCAATGAGCTCATTCTCTCATTGTCATTAAGAGCAAAGAGAATCAGGTTCTATCATGATTAGCCAAAGGAAGATTTTACAAAACAAAACAAAAGAGAGGAAATGGCCCTGGAATTGTGCTATCTGGTTCATGCTTTTCCATAGAAAGAGGCCTGTGGTTTTAAACTGATAATGACTCCTTGCAGCCCAATAATTGATGTATCTGGTGTTCTGGCTTTAAGGGAAAAGTGAACTGGCCTCTTTAGAAATGTTGGCAGCCTGGCTGGTCCATTAGTAAGACTCAAAACTCAAAACATTGACTGGAAAAGGCCATTACGACTGGGCTCAGCAGGAGTCATCGATAGATGATGTCATTTCAGAAACAAGTAAGCCAAGGTCATGAAGCCCATGAGCAGAGTCAAAACACCCTCCACGACCCATCACCATCCTCCATCGCAGATACTGGTCTGCCAGAGACACATGGGTCTGAGCCAGGATCTCCTTCATTTTACCTTTTTTTGCTCATTCCAGGGGATGAAGGCCACCTGCAGAGTCTGTGACATTCTGCAAGTCACTACGGAAGGTCCCCAAATCCTCATTATGGGCACACCTTTTAGATTCTCCTTTAACTCTCTCCTCTCTACTGGGTTCTTCTCACTTCTTGCCATACTCTTTATCCTAGAATGCCTGCCTCCCTTCTGTCCCTTGTCCTCAGTTCCTGCTACCTTGCCTCTCCCTTCCTGTCTGGTCCAAGCTTTGAGAAAGAGTTGCAGGCTCTGTGGAGAGCCTTCTTCAGCTCCCGTTAGCTCCTGCCTTTGGCCCTCACCACAGCTAATTATATCATTGCAATATCAGGCTCTGGGCTGAGGAGAATCATCTCACTTAATTCCCACAAGCAGCCCCTGTGAAATGGGGCTACTGTTATCTCTGTTGTATAGAGGAGGAAACAGGCTCAGACAGGCTTGGTCACTGGCAGATCCCATTTTTTGAGCCTGCTGCAATGCCCTGGTCAAAGTCACTCATGATCCCTGCCAATCCTGATGGTCCTTTCCCAGTCCTCATCCCCCACTCCTGTCTCTTCACAGCAAGTGACACTGCCCACCTCAGTCCTCCCTTGGCACTTGGGAAAGCCAGTCTCTCTCACTCCTTCCCCAGCTCCTCCTTACAGGATGGGTCACGCTAGAAAGGCTTCCAGGGGGGACTCCAAGCCCTCCCCACTCCAGGTCCACTAGAGACCATCTTGTCCACCTCCTCATTGTTCAAGGTTGCTCTGAGTGGGTGGCAGAACTGGGGCTGAAGCTGGGTATCCTAACCTCCAGGCCAGTCCACCTCCCAGTGCTCAGAGCTGCCACACCTACTTTGTGTTTTCTGTTTTTGCTGAGCTGCAAGAATACGCCCTACCCTGGAGGAGGGAGAAGGTGTGAGACCCTGATAAGGTGGGGCGGAGGCTATTTTTAGAGGACACTGGCTTTCCTCTTAGGCTGGGAGGAACTCAAGGGCCAATGACTTTCTAAAACACGGGTTTGTAAGACTAGCTCATTAAAGATAATACACCAAAGTGACAGTGTTCTTGTTTTCATTCTGCCTGTTGGTTGTGTGGCTCTAACTGATGGAAACTATAGTATTTAGCTCCGTTTCCCGTTAATTCTTTATCTGTAAGTCTTTGAGATGGCTTTAGAAAAAAAACATATAATAGAACGTAAAGTAGAAGCAAAAAGGAAACTTCAGGATGAGGGCACTATTGTCCAGACAAGGTAAAGTCCAGAAGAGCAGCAGATTCAAGAAGAGGGCGCATTGATCAGGCACTGCCAGAGCTCCCGGACCTGCCTGAGCAGTGGGAAGGGTTCAGAAAGAGATGGGAAAGGTTGGGAGACTGCAGACCTTCTGGCGTGACAGGTCCTGTGTGACCTTGAGCAGGGGGCTCTGCGGCCCTGCACGGAGGACAAAATGGCAGTCACCTCTGGAAGAAAGATGGGGTGGGGGCCCTAGGGGTTCTCACGCTGAGGGCCCAGTACCTGGGTTCAGGGTCTGGTTCTGCGATTCAGACACGGAGGAGCTTGGGCCAGGTGGTCTCCGAGAGTGAGGACATAGGGCGAGGGCCGGAGACGGGGTCTATAATAGCAGCGGTGGGTGATAGGTGTAGGAGGGGGCGGCGCTGCACAGGTTGGAGGACGCATCATAGGCGCGGTATAGACTGGGAAACTGTGGCCAGGGAGCGGCTGGACTGGAACCCCTATCCCTGCCCAGCTCATCGCATCTGAAGCTGTGTGGCTCACAGGCTGCTTTGCCAAGGCAATGGCGGCTATGCAGCAGAGAGATGCTCATAGGCACCCCAAAAGTGCCCTTCCTAGGATTGTACGGCTTAGGATATCCGAGAGCCTTAGTGGGTCCCAGGATCAAGTCTGGGGAAGCCAGTCTCCGATTTCTGCAGCCTCTCTGGATGTGCGCGGTTGGGACCCCAGCGTCCCAGGTCGGAGCGGGCGAACAGGTGGGGGGAGCGCAGGCCGTCAAGAGCGCCCTGCAGCTCTCGTGGCCCGGGCTCCCAGCTTCATCGCGGCTACCAAACCTCGCCCCTACAAATGGGAAACCCAGATCCAGAAACAAGAGGGGGATTGCCAAGGCCATGCCAAGAGCCGGCGACAACCTGGGGCTCCCGCCTTCAAGCTCTTTCCAGCTCCACTTGGTCGCGTAGCGCGTGTCGTAGTGCTTTAAACCTTGTCTCCCGCAGTTTGGGAAACTTCTCCTGACCCAAACACTCTCAGTGCGAACCTGGGTTCCACATCCAGTCGAGCCCTTACGCCCCCATTCCCACCCCCAGACTCTTGCAGGCGGAGAAGAGGCCGCGCCCCCGAGCCCGGCTCCGGCTGGCACCTGTACCCAGCAGAGCGCCCCGCGGGCGCAGAGCCCAGCCGCGCTGGAGTCCTGCGGGCGGCGGGGGCGCCCCTCCGCCAGGACCCCAGCAAGGGGCACCGCTCCTCCAGAACCCCGGGTCTTTCTCGCCTTCACAGACGCGGTGCGGAGGTCCAGAGCGAAGAGCGCCCTGGCCAGGACTGCGAGCTTGGGGAGGCGGGGTCGCTAGCGCTGGGCTCGGGACCCCGAGACCCGGGCTCCCCAGCCCCAGAGGCAACCCGAGGCGGCAGCTATTTATAGAGGGAGCCACGCTCAGTCCCTCTTGGCGGCGGCGGCGACAGCTGAATATTTTGCCCAGATATGGCTGAGGCCCCGGAGCGGGGGCAGGGAGCCCCGCGAGCGCGAGGGGGACCCCAGGCGGGGAGGGGGCTTACCCGGACGCAGAGCTGCTGGGCCGGCGCTGGCGCGGGCGGCGGGCGGCGGGACGGGCGCGGGCAGCGGACAGAGGGACGCGGGCGGCGGCCGCAGTGCTCCGGCGGGCAGCGGGCGGGCGAGCGCAGCGCGGGGCTGGACAAGCTCCCGGGCGGCCGCGGGCGGGCGGGCGGGCGCTGTGGGCTCCGGGGGTGGGAGCCAGGGGCGGGCCCGGCTCGAGCTGTCACCGCGCCCCGCCCCGCCCGCCGCCGGTTCCCTCCTTCCCTCCCCCTCCACTCGGGGGCGCCGGGGCGCAGCGCACCTCCCCGTCGGGACGCGGCCCTGAGAGGGGAGTGCCGGGGAGTCGGGCTGCAGCCGAGCTAGCGCGGGCCCCTGCCTGGGTCTGCGCTTCCCCGCTGGTACCAGGAAGAGTTTGAACAACGGTAGAGTTTTGTGGGAAAAGGTGGGCAGATTTGCATTCCTGTGGGATCCAGAATTTAGATTTTGAGAATCTGAAGTCCCCGAAAGTGATGGACCAAAGCCAGCTAAGCGGCCGCTGCACCTTCACCTCTGATTGAAGCGCCGCTCCCTCAGTCTCCCAGCAGCGCGGCCAGGTGGGCTCTGAGCCGCAAGCTTTAACAGCGATCGTTTTGTCAACACGTAGTTCCAACACGCAATCGAATGCATTCTCTCTACACTGAGAGCGAGTGGAGTGTCTAAAATACTGATTTTAAATGACCACAACAAAATGACCACAACAAAAAGACCTACGTTCTTAAAAGCCTTTTTTTTTTTTTTTCCAGAACAAACCACTTTTGGTGGTTTATCCCAAACACAATTTTAAGTGTTTTAATAAACAAAGGGCTCATGCAAAGGAATTTATAAAGAAATAGGAAAACGTCTTATTTTGGATTATTATGGGAGAACTTTTAATAGGATAGACCTTAATAAAATCAGCTCTTAATCCTGATGTATAGATTATTAATGAGAAACACTCATTAACCACATTTTGTTTCTCAAGAAAATGAATTCTTCTAAAGTCCTCACAATTGTAACAGAACGCTGTTTTCAAGGGGTATATGCCATACATTTTAAAATAAGCAATGATCTAATATTTCAGATTATTTTAAAACATTTTTGTTGTGAATCAAACATATAAGAACATACAAGTTATGTTGTATGTGTAAACAAAATAAATGTGCAGCTTCATGACTTTTTACAACGTGAACCCCTGTGCAACCATCACTCAGAGAACATTGCCCACAGCCCAGAAGCCAACCTGTCCCTCCTGGGTCCCAACTTCTCTCTAAAGATGATCACTTCCTTGACCCTTATGGTGATCGTGTCCTGTTTTTTTCTTCCCTCTGTAGTTTGTCTTCATTTGTTCAAATCTGTTGTTAATCTGTGGTTTCATGCAGCTGTGGTTTTCCATTGTATGAATATACCACAGTTTTTCAAAAAAATCCATTTGACTATTAATGGGCATTTAGGTTGTTTGCAGGTTTTAGCTATTACAAATAGTGCTGCTGTGAACATTCCTTGCCAGAATCCTCCTGTCCACGCGCACAGCCTGCTTTTGGAAGTGCTGGGTGATAGAGAAAGCCTAACCTCAACTTCAGCAGAGATAAGGCTGAACTCTTCCAAAGTCGTAGTACCATTGTACAGTGCAGTTTCTCATCTTCAACAACACGTGGAAGTAACAAAAATTGAAACACTTTAGAAATTCTGGTGAGTAATGGTATCTCATTGAGGTTCAAACTTGCATTTCCTTACATCCTAATGGGTTGAGCATCACTTCATATTTACTGGCAATCCTCCCGCCTCAGCCTCCCAAAGTGCTGGTATTACAGGCGTGAGCCACTGCGCCCAGCCTCATGTTTAGGTTTTCTTTTTTCTTTTTTTTTTTTTTTTGAGACAGGGTCTCTGTCATCCAGGCTGGAGTGCTGTGGCATGATCTCAGCTCACTACACCTTCTGCCTCCTAGGCTCAGGTGATCCTCCCACCTCTGCCTCCTGAATAGCTAGGACAACAGGTGTGCACCACCACATCCAGCTAATTTTTTGGTAGAGACAGGGTTTTCCACGTTGCCCAGGCTGGTCTCAAACTCCTGGCCTTAAGTGATCCACCCACCTCAAAGTGCTGGGATTACAGGCATGAGTCACCATGCCCAGCCAATGTTTAGGTTTTCAATCCATCTGGAATAGACTTTTGAATATGGTATGAGGAAGGGTTCACATTTCATTTGTTTGTGTCACACTGACTTAGCACTAATTTTGTGGTTACATCAAGAAACAATTTATTGCTTTATTTTAAAAAGTAATGGAAATATTTCTAAAGTCAGTGAAATAGAAACTACCTTTTCCTAACTTGCAATTTGAGGATTTTTGCATTTTTTTGTTGGGGAATGAAACAATTATGAAAAACGTAACAGTTTATTTCACTTAAACATTTCTGTGTTGGGATATTTTTATTTCATCATAAATGATTAATCACTGGCATTCACTATTCCTGAATTTTGAATCACTTGTTGTAAATACTGAGTTTTAAAAAGCTAGAGATAATTTTGACATGTTTAAAATGAAAAACTTCGAACATCTGGTCTCTACCTTCCTCTTTCTGTTCTCATTTTTTTCTAGATTTTTCTCAAAAACAAACAAATAACTTTGAGAATTTTTTTTCCAGTCTAGTTTTTGCCCCTGAAGTTTATTCCACATTTCCAAGATTCTGCATATCTTCACATGGAAGTCTATTAGCTCAAATTCAGTGTGTTCAAAATCAAATTTTTAAGCTTCCCATTCCCCCACTTCATCTGAGTAAGGTCCTAGGCTCTCATACCTTAAGACTTGGCTTCACTCTTCCCAATCTGTATCTAAGCTGTCTAATAATTATAATGAAAAACTTTACAAGGTCATCAACACTTTTTCTTCAACACCATTGCTCCACTCTTAGTCCAGGGCCTCCCCACCTCATCTCTGGACCGCTGCTAAAGCCTATAACCTGTCTACCAATCTATCTGCCCATCAGTTAGCAAGCACAAAAGGAGTGCCTGATGTGTGTAAGATGCCATTCTGATGGCTGTGGATGCTCAGACGGTGGTGTGCTGGAGAGCCTGTCATATGGGGTCTCAAGAGCTGCTTAGGTGAGTCTCTTCCCAACTCCACATTCAGTCATGTCATATATAGCTCAAAATCAACAATGGTGGGACTATTTACGATATGAGAATTTTCAGACACTACAAATCAAGGCTCAGCTCCCCACCCAACAGAACCAGTTGTCAAACATTTACCAGTATATCACCGGAGATGACTAAGACCCGTCCCTCTTTCAGGGGGGCCATGATCTAGCTGGGATACTCGGTGCACAGACTAGTCATATACTATAAAGCACAGTGACATATGGGCACCAAGAAAGGCATGATCAAAGTACGATGGAGTAGAAAGGGGCACCAGAGAAAGCTTCATGGTTGGCCCAGGAGGTCAGGCAGGACACTGACAAGCAAAAATGATGGGAGGAGAATGAGATGCAGGTTGACAGAATGGAATGAGCAGGGGTTCAGTGACCAAATAAAGGTACAGTGTGGCAGGGAGTGGTAGATAAGGAGGTTGGGTAGGAGGACTGTGGAAAGCCTGGGTCCTAGCCGGACTCTGTGGGCAATGAGAAGAGAAGCCACTCAGGATTCAGGTTGAGGGTCACGCTGGTTTGCCTGGGGCTGCTCCTCTAGAAATGCTGATGTGTTAAGACTCAGGATAAGTCCTCACATGCTTTGGGGATCACTTGCTTTGAGATACACTACTACATCAGGGTAGAGTTCAGTCATAATAGTCTCAGCTTAACTGGAGAAGAACCCAGCTCAGAAAGGAAGACAACATGAAATGGAAGCTTTCATCTTAAGACCATTAAGCCTAGAAATTACAAGGTAGTCAGCTTTTATATTGATAAACATTTTTATTCTAATATTATAGTAATAATTCAAGTACAATTTTCTTCGAAAAGTCAACTCTGTTAAAACAAAACTTGTTAAATATCTTTCATCAAACATAAGCATATTCTTTTCAATCCCCCACAGCAGTCAGAGCCATGTAGCAGAGATAAGATTTTTTTTTTTAAGCCTACTACATTTTGTTATTGCTAAAAAATTTGAATTAGTTGTCAAAGTTTCAGAAGCAGTCATTAATTAACTTTTGAAAGCTCTATCAGATACTCTGACATAAAATCATGAATCCAGATATCGGTGTCTGGCAACGATGTGTCCACTAAATAGACCACTACTTTCCGGTCCCAAGGGTTAGCATTTTCAATGACTGTCTGCACCAGTGCCACCAGAGGTTTCTTCTCCACATGATTTCGAAACACCATCGAAGCCTCCTCAGACCACTGGTTGCACTTCACTCCTAGGAGGAAGACAGGAAGAGGGGGCAGTGAGGAGTCAAAGGAGCTTTTCTTTGATCCATTATGATGGAAAATTATTTAGTCAATCCAAAGTAGCTTAAGCATCCCAGGTTAGACTTGCCTCAACTGAAAAACGGTTACTGAACAATCTTAAACCACTCCAGCTTATAGTTTTTCTACTCTGAATGGAGTCACTCTGGAAACCTTTAACTAAAAAACAAGTTTCATTTGAGACTTAACATTGTATTATAAAATGAGGTAATAATGACTACTGCACAACCCCCATACATAAAGTATATGCATATTTAAACTAATAACAGTCAGAATAAAATGTATCATATTAAATGACATTTCTCTCATTAAAATTTTTTTTCTGATGGACCAAATATCGTAAAAAAGAAAAAAGAATTATTGTATGATTCATTTACAGTATAGTTATTTAAAATTACACACAGCATCGTGGGAAAAGCACTGAACTGAAAGTCAAGAGACTCAGTTACTATTCCCAGCTCTTCCTCTATCAGGTGGTGTGGTCTTGGGCAAATCAGCTGATCTCTCAGGCCTCACCTACGATAAAAGAACCTGGTTGGATCAGATCATGAGAAATCAAGTTAGAGAATTCTAAATTAGATTTTAAAACAAAGTTGGGACAAGAAAGTATATATTGGCCAGGCACAGTGGCTCACACCTGTAATCTCAGCACTTTGAGAGGCCAAGGCGGGTAGATATCTTGAGCTCAGGAGTTCAAGACCAGCCTGGGCAACAGAGCCCCCGTCCTGTCTCTACAAAAAATACA